ACTATGTCTGGAATTTTAACTCGAGGTTACGATGGTTGGGATGAAACTATTTTTTTTAAGGGGTGATATGGATGAGTAACTTCCATCCCAAACATATAGCGGCCATTTGTTGAGTCGCCTATGCAAACTCTTACGTTAACGTGATTCTTAGCAAGTATTTAAAAAATAAATACCCAGAAAGTTAGCGTATGTTTGAACCTAGGCTACCTTGATACCGTGTTAATTTGTACACCAGGACAAAAATATATTTCGAAAAATTTTTAAGGGCTACGATATTAGTAGACCGTTGAATCTTTGCTGTGGGGAATGATTACAATGAATACAATGAATCTTTGCTGTAGGGAGGCTCACTGTAAATGATCTACTTTAACATTCGCCATTGCAGTAAACTAAAATATCTTATCTAGATTCGTCCATGCTTTGAAGTCCAGTTCAACACATGTCTTAATTTTAAATAATATCTCTAAAATACAAGAAATGTTCTAAAGTTGCCATTTAAAATATTGTTTCTAGTATATTTTTTAATTATAATTATTTGTTATAATAAGCTCCTTAATAATTTTAGCATATTTAATGTTCACTATCCTATCCATGTGATCTGTAAAATACTACCTAAGTGCGATGATAAAACTCCATAAAAAACTAAAATTGTAAACTATTTACACTTTGCAGAACACGATTTGTAAATGTCCCTTTGCAATACAACCTTTGCTGAACATCTTTTCAAGATATGTAGAACACAACAATAATGCAAGCATGTGTGGGGTATGAAATTAGATCAGACATGGAGATTTACATACCTTTGAACTTTTAGACCTTTTAACTTTGAAAATCCTATCAAACCAAGAAAATTGATATTGTTCTTTTGATATTGTTAAAACGTTACACAGACAAAATAAGTTACAATGTGATAATACAAAAATGTTTGCGTGGAGTTAGAATGTAAAAATTCATTTCTATTAACTATTAACGTTATTACAACTATGTAATAATGGAGATTTTTTTTTAACCACAAACAATTTGTTTGCTTTATCAATCAATCTTATACATTAGCAAGAGTCGGTTGAATTAGTATGCGGGAAACATATAAGACGAGAAAAATTAAAATAATATATAATCTTGTCGGCACTAAAATCCAAGAAAACGTGATTTTCGTAACAATCGGCAGAAGCCGTGGCAGATGGCAGTGTTTATAAAAAGAGCCCCCCTCCGGTGATTTAATTCCGATTCCGTATCGCCGCTGTGAGCTTTGCTGGCCATACTGGGTTACTAACATATTGTATACAGTAGTTCAAATACGTAATCGTATCGTATTTTACAGGAAAATATTATACAGTAAGGCCTACCGCACACGAGAGACTTTTTGTCGGCCGACTGTTGGCCATCTGTCTGGCTGGAGTCGGGTAGACAATCGAAAAGTCGTCAAGACTGTTCGGTCGTTGACTATGGGTGCGCACACGCCACGACTGTTTAGTCGTCTTTCGAGTGTTAAAAAGATGTATATGACAAAACCGGTGTCATATGTGCGTTACTGATAAGATTTCGTGCATGAAAACGTAAGAGAAAATACTGGGTGCATCGAATTTATAGTCCAAGAACCTTGAAAGACCAGATTTACCTCTATACTCGGATCCGAGGAAATATCCGGACAAATTTGTCATGTACTCATGAATGAGTGTTGATAGTTTTGACCAATTGTTAATACCCCGGCTTCAAATACCTCATCCCATAACGGTTAGGGAATAAGCTGTAACCGTAGATCTCATGGTAAGACATGGTCCCATGACCGATTTACCTTTTCATTTTGATGTCCCCAGAGGCCAAAAACACCATCCGTTCAAATTAACACACACATATTTGTCCGTTAGCACGATAGCTCGAGCAAAAAAGATCCGATTTTAATGAAATTTTGTACAAACGTGTAAACCTACATGTATTTTATTCGAACGAGTTCGAGAACCAGAATGATCAGACTATGGGAACGGGGGTTTATGGGGGGTTTTATCGGGTAAAAATGGGGGTTTCCCATTTTTTTACGATAAAAACAAAAGATTCCGTAATTTCTTTAGAAAACATTTTGCAGAACTTAAAAAACAAATAATTTAGCATGCTAATTGTTATCATAATGGTTACAGGGAAATTCCAAAATATTTAAAGTAAAAATTGTCATGTCATTTATATGTAGAACAAGTAAACTGTTGTAGTTTGCTTGTTTATGGATGTATTTTGATAAAACTTGGCAAATCTATTTATTTTATACTCAGCTATTAATAAAACACACCCTGAATACCCTCCCTGTAGCAGCAAACCTAGGTACTCGTTTATCCTAATTTTATTGAAATAGATTAAATACAAAATTAAATCAGGCAAATAGGAATTCATTTAGTCTGCAGGTTTGCTGCAACGGGGGTAATCTTTTATTATGGCCAAATACTCCTTCAAAGTATTTTTATAAAGAGGGGACCGTGCCTCAACTTCATCGATAAGTTTATCAACTTTCTCGTCCCTCAAAACACTTGCACTGGTGGTTGTCGAAGCCTTAATAATAACAATAACACACAAATTGAATACTAATCATAATAACAATAATAATACACATGATACCAACGCACTCGACTGTCAGACTGGTAGACTTTTTAGTCGTCAGTGTGCGCGTTCTAACTTATCTCCATGCCTTTATCAATAAGACACGACAGTTGAGTCGGGGAGCAGTCGGCGGGAAAATCGGTCAGCACCAAACTGCCCCGACTGGCTACAGACAGTCTGCCGACTGTCTTGCTGCGGTCGGTCCGTGTGCGCACTCAGATTTACCACTATGGGGCCGACTTTGACTCCCGACTACGACTAAATAGTCGGCCGACAAAAAGTCTCTCGTGTGCGAATTAAAGTTGAACTAGGAGCCTTGAGGAAAAGCCATAAACGTTTTATAGTTTTCGACGACCCGCGGCCGGAGCGGCATGTTGATTGACAATCCCATTGTTGAAACGTTTCGCGATCCTAGCGGACAGCGTTCCGTAATAGCTCAGCTGGTCAACAGATGTTAATAATATCACGAGTAGTTGTAAGGGTAGAGTTACAAATTCATAACTTTTGCTCTAACTTGTCTGTTTTATTCGGACTTTCTCAAAATGTCGTTTAGTATGAAAACTAATCTTTCGACACTCAAATAGATGAAAACACATAGCCTCTATGGCATAAAAGAAGATTAGCCTATCACCTTATTGTCACGCAAACCAAACCCTTAAATTTAGCCTCTGAAACGCGCTTTATTATCCAGCCTAAAAACCGTATCATAGAATATACAGAGTGTTTTTGTGCAGTTGTCATTATGTTTATACAAAATTATAATAAATGTTAAGAGTAGATTGGGAATTATTTAGTTAAAAAATAACATGTTGTATAACGCTACTGTATGATGCGTCAATAGGCTTGGACAAGGCAACCCGTTGTCAAGTATAGACCAATAAACTATAAAATATGGCATGAGATGAACTAGTTTAACATCAAGTCTTGTAAATGGACCAACTTAAAAACAATGATACAATTGGTGTGTTGTTTTTAAATGTAGATTTGTTATTTTTTCTTTGCTTTATGATCGATGCATGTTTAGTTACGATGGTTTTAATGACTTTAGATGACAAGATTGTTACTAAAATGTTGTCACAGCACCAATGCTTGAGCATGATAAAATACTCTTATATTATACATTTTATCAAACAATTTATGCTGTATTTTGTAATGTTATCAAAATCTAACAAACGTATGTTTTATTTGTTTAACCTGTCAAAGAAATTAAAACACCATGATCAATGCTCGGTCCCCTGGTACTAAATAAATAAACGGAGTACGTTGAATTAACCAATCAATGCATGTGTGTATAGTGTATAGTTGTTTGTGTGGGTGTGCTTGTATACTTAGTCTTCATCAGTGGTAGCCATATTGGATTTTAGTCCCATAAGAGCAATGTTAACTTTGTAACAGAATTTAAAAAAAAAACCTTTTGTGATAAAATAATGATCGAGGAGTAAAAATTAAGGTTTAGTGGTCCTCTAGGGAGTGAGGATTTTGGTTTTGTAATTTTTCCTCCAATTAATAAGATAATGAACATTAATTAAGCCTTTAATTAAATAATTTATTAAAAAAGACAAAAAAAATAATTTTCTGATTTCGTCATTCCCTAGTACTAGCCTATATGTTATAAACCTAGTTATTCATTTTCAAAACTATATATTTATAAATAACACCGGCAAATTTAACATTGCTCTTATGGGACTGGTCCAGGGTTGGTGTTGGTGCGCTGTGTCCGCGCTACGTGTAGTGGCGGATAGTTCCATCCGCGTTGCGTGCGGTTCCCCTGAGGCCCCGTTTATGCACCAAGTGCGGTAGCGGTAGCGACAGCGGGAGCGATTTCTAACACCATTGAGTTAAATGGGGCTGTTTATGCACCAAGAGCGATAGCAATAGCGGTTGACCTCCCGCTGCGATTTCTAATTCGCCCGCTGTGTAGTTAGGAATCGCAGCGGTTGCTTGGGCTGAAGCCAGTGTTGCCAACTTGACCCACGCGCACGTGCACTTAGTACAAATAGTTGTGTTAATTATTTGGCAGAGTTTGAGTTGGCAAGACTGTGTCCCCCTTCCATTCTCCTTTAACCAACCGCTACCGCTATCGCTCTTCGTGCATAAACAGACTCATTTACAGCGGGAGCGGGCCCGCTATCGCACCGCTCCCGCACTTGGTGCATAAACGGGGCCTGATATTCGCGGGCGTTGCTTTTTGCCGCGGTGGCGAAAGGCGTGTCTGTGCGGGGGCGGAATGAGTGGCTTGGCCGGCCTTCACTTACTACGTGTTAGGAGTTAGGACTAAAAGCCACTCATATGCAGCCGTAATGAAGCTACCAAGATACGTTTCCTGTCATAAATATCATTAAATAATATTATTATTGGTAGAATTTAGCTAAGCGTGAATTAACAAATACATACATTATATATCATCTACATACCTTGATTCCTATATAAATCTCGGAGAAATCGCTCAACATAGGATACCCCTGCCACAAACAAGGCTGCGAGCACGAAACAAGTTATTGAACAACCGAAAACCAAAAATACTAGCAGTAACAAACGAATAGTAGTTTCGCACGCGTCCATTGCACCAAATGACAGTCAGTGCCTAGCGCAACAATGATAACAAGCCCACACTTTCATATCAACCGGAAGATGATAGATGTATCATATGCCTACAACACTAATACTGACACAAAAACACTCTCCAGTGCCATTTTTAATATCCAAATCTCCCAAATTAAATTAATCCTATATGGCGACTACCGCTAATACTTACCGCAATATTAAATCCGACCTTCATTAGCATTAGATAATTCATATTTCAGTTTGTTAAGATTTAAGGAAAATACACAAATTTATGGGTACCGGTACAGTAGTTGCATCTCTTAGTCCAGTCAATGAAAAAAATAAAACACCCTTTTTCACAACTAAATGGTGGATAACTGGATTTTATATATGTGATAGCATAGATCAAACATACTCCCGTATGTTTAACCTATGGTGATAGATCCACATGGAGAGGTTTATTTTGCCAAAAGTCCCCACTTCTACACCTTGAGCTTTCCCCCACCTCCAAACCTAGAAATTGCAGTGTTATACATAATTGATCATAAGTGGAATACTATATAGGTACACTATTGTGTTGCAATTTGTTTTGATTTATTTCTGATTAGCTTTCCTACAACTTTTGTATTCAAAATGTCTTTCTGTATTTAGGGAGATATAAAATGTTATAAACTTCATTAAAGCTTTGTTTCAGAGTACAGTACACAAGTTTGTTTTCTCAATATATAATATATCATTCTGTATAGAAATAATACGAAAATATGGTTCAAATAAAAGTTTTAGTACGTTCTTAAAGGTTTACAAATATGTTATTTTTTAGTCATCTAGGTGAACTGGTAAATAGCTGGGCGTCGGAAAAGAGAGCGCGTGCGGGCTAGTTGAACACCTCTGCGCTGCGTCATCGCATCTAGCCCAGTAAATAAACGGACAAACTGCATTTTTTTCTAGCTAAATAGGGGAAAGCTGGATTTTATATATGTGATAGAACCACTTAAGACGTTTATTTTCGAAAAGATCCCAATTGTCCCCCTTGATCTTTGCCCCCACCCCCTCCAAACCTGGAAATTACAGTCGTTCACTTTATTGGATATAATTCAAATTCTATGCATGCCATCGTATTGAAATTTCATTTGTTTTATTTATAATTATTTTATCTACCACTTTTGTACTCAAGGTATTCTTCTAAGAATTATTTTCAAAGAGTTATAACATGTAAACTTTGGTAATGTTTATGTTTTAGAGCACAATTTTGTTTTACCCTCTATACATTTTTTACAAATAAAATACGCAAAATGTTTCAAACAAAAGTTTTAGTAGGCTATGTTTCTTAAGGCTTATAAATATACATTTGGTTAGTCGTAATGTACATTTGGGCTCCTCATAAACAGTTATCTATAGCTTGATCAAATTAACAACTTCAGAAACTGGAGGTCTACCAGCACCTTTTCCATGTTGGATACCCGTTCATTCAAACTGCCTGTACCACCGTTTTATAGAATGTTAGAGGATTATGGCCATACTCTAAACGAAACCTTCTTCCACCAGTTATTGCAGAGCTGCTTTCATGAAAACACACTTTGCTTTTTCTTGCACACTAGCTATTTTGAAACTGAGGTCAGTATAATGTTTGATTGGTCACATGTCATACACAGCTGATGTAGAAAGGTCCAAGTTGGCCAACTGACTATACCACAACACATATCATTGAGAAGAAAACATAAATTACACTCACAGTTTAGATGATTTTACGGAATTTTTATAACAACTTTTTTATAATTATTGATATTTTAAAAATTTATTTGTTTGCAGTTATTGTATACAACCGTTTTAAATGTGCCATTTAATGAAACAATTCCCATGTTTCTGAGTTGTTTGGTTATTTATTTAATCTTTTGTGTTCAATAATTTATGACCACCCTTTATTTTCATGTAAGCCTCAAGCTTTTTTGTGCCAAGCTTTTGATAATCACTGTGTTATAATGTTATATAAGGTAAATATCACGACTCCTTATTACAAAATGCATTTCAATTTTATAGTATTGTGTTTAATATAATTTTATACATATCCTAAACCCTAGTAACAAGCTTTTCTAGACCATTTCAAAATTGTATGACGCCTCGGACCACATGATCAGCAATTCATACCTGAATAACCAAAGGGTGAGCTGTTGGTTATGGTTTCACTCAACAAAAATCCCTTTTATCTGGAATTACAACCGTTTCATTTCCAAGTTGAATATTGATAGAGCCCTGTGAATTACGTTACTGATGCACTTTCCGGGATATCTCTTCAGAGACAAGAGGGACTGCAAGCAGAAAAGCTCTAGGAAGGTCTGCCTGGTCTTTATTCTCTTCCCTTTCCTTTCTCATGTCTCTTCGTATTTCGTGTTGAATCCAACCCTCGTTTTGGAGTATAGTGTTATTCACATGGGTTTCATCTTCTACCAGGTCTGCCCTCTCAGAAATACCAATCTGCTTCCTTGGGAGACACGTGCATTATTTAAGAAGACTGTTTATTTCTCCTTTGCCAAAGTATTTACTTGGATTAAGTTGGAGTAGGGTTCCGAAGATCTTTGGGCTGTTGTCCACATTTTGTGAACAGTATTCCTCTGGTTGACAATTACCATGAAGCTTTGTAGGTCCGTACTACAATTCTTGATACTTATCCTTGTTTTTGGATTGGACCATACCTCTCTTTCTCAACATCTTGGCAAGGAATGGTATTTTCTCTCATGATGTTCTGTATTGTTCTTGGATAGGCATCTGTTTTTCTTTTCTTTCTCAGCCTGGAGGGGGTGTCCTTCCATGGATCGATTTGCAGAACCATAGGGAAACTAGTTTTATTCTGATGTTTACATTGTTGGGGTGCACTTGCAGACTAGGTATTTTCTGGACATGCTTGGTCTACACCCTCATCTGGCTAGGTTTCTTCTGTCTCCAATGGGAGTCAAATTTCTGGGCTTGTTTCCTTTCCCATTTTTTTTGTCTCATATCTGTCTAGAGCTGTCCTGCAATGGGCTCATCTGACTTGTCTTGTCTTTGGCCCCAAGTCAGTTCTGGTGGTTACTGGATCCACTACCAGGAATGACCTCCCAGTCAAGATCTGCCATGTTCAGTAAAAGCAGGGACACCTCTGGCAGGACGTTGCTCTTCCCCACACAGCATTGCCTCTAGTGAGGCACTGCATCACAGACTGTCTTGAGATAGTGTCATCTAGGTGGGGCCAGGGCCTTGCCTCTCAGCCTCTCTCTGAAGGGCAGTGAGAGGGAATTAATGTCAGGTCAACCCCGTACAAAGAAAACCCCTACAAACCACCTTCCCTTCACCCTTCCCAAATAATGATTTGAAATTAGCCAAGTACAAACCATGATTTGACAATGGAGAGCCAAACAAGGCAGGAACCGTCTTTAACAAGAATGCAAAAAGAAATTACTGTGAAACTGACTCTTCAACTTATAACAGTGCGTCGCCTACTTCCTTGGCATGCTCAAATAACAGCTCTTCTCCCACAGCTGAGCACCAAGAGGTCGCGAAACCCCCCATGATAAGGAGAAAAAGATACCTTCTACTCCATGTACAAAAGAAGTCTTGCATGCCAAATATACCCAAAACCAAGCGACAAACCCCAAAGGAAAAGTTTCACCAAAGAGAAACAGAGGAAAATAATGAGGTCAATGTATTTAACCAAATTCTAAGTGAATTTTGGACGGACATTGAAATTATCTCCATTGAAAACAATACCTTACTTGGCCTTTCCTCCTTTGTAAACGTATCAACAAGTCAAGATCAAAGAACCTCAGGCCAAAAAAGAAGAAAAAAGTGCAATGGATCTTGAGACAAAGGAATTGTAACAATAGGTGCAAACACCAAAGTTTCACACAGAGTAATACAAACGCCATACACCAGATAAAGTCTCTGGCAACATCCCTGATGGAAAGAACTTAGCGAAACATGCCTAGTACTCTTACCCTCAAAGCATATTGCATCTCTACTCAAGGGGTATCCTTGGGAGTCTTGACTCTTTTATATGACCCTGCCGGTAAGCACCACCAGTCAGGAATGCACCCTAAGCCATTTTGAGCCCCAACACCTATTTTGAAGCCAAATGACCAGCCTCTGAAGACCAATAATCCGATGGGAGGGGGATGTAGAGACCCCCTCCACAAGTGTAGAATGTCACCAATTGTCCGAAAAGAGAGCTAGCCAACTTTTGTCAGAAAAACTGGCTGCATTGAGATTTAATAGAAGCTGCTGCAACATGATAAACAGGCCACCAATACTTAAATTTAAAATTTTCGGGAATTTTCTCTGTAACCAATAAATGTACAATAATGCTTAAACGTACTTAATTATTTGTGTTTTTAAGTTTTACAAAGTGATCTGAGAATGATTTGCAGACTTTTAAATTTGGCGGTTCAAAAATGGGAGAAATCACTTTTTTACTCAATAAACCACCTCTTTTTAAAACCATGTTTCCATAGTCTGATCATGCTGGATCACAAACTCTTTCAAATAAACATAGGTTTACTCGTTTGTATCAAATGTTATCAAATAAATTATTTTTACTTGAGTTGCAGGCAATTATATAATATCATGAGACTTACGATAATAGCCTATTCCTTAAATTGGAAATTTGCTGATACAAGAGCAGTAAAAGACTGCGAGAACCTAGAGGGTTTGAAGAATCAGTGGGGTGAGGCTAGAGGCCAGGAGCACCTGGGCACATTAATACCTGACACAAGGATCCGGATTTGAGTTGGTATGCTGCAAAAAGGGTCAGCTCTAGTTATTGTTCGTATCTTTAAGGCAATTTAGAATTGTACATAGCCTTTTAAATATTGCAAATTGTTTGGGAACAATAAATAAACCTTGTTTGGATCATAGTTTGGATGAGTATCATCAGTCAATAAGGGAATCCTGAAATACCACGAGGAATTCAGAATGGGTGCAGATCAAAAGGTAAGAGAAGGAAAAAAGCTGAAACCAGAAAGTTATTTACAAATCAAGGCCT